TCGTTTCAGGAGTGAAGTGGTGGACCCAAGTTTCATCAACCGTTATTAATCGATGCAAAAAATCCGACTCGTTTCGCTTAAACCGCTCCAACAGGGCCTTAGAAATGTTCATTCGAATGCGTTTTTGATTCAGAGTGAGCAAGCGCGGCACCCAACGCGCGGTTACCTTACGCATGTGCCTAATTCTTCAGTCAATATATGACAAACACGTTTTTTTGATATGCCAACAGCCTCTGCTATCTCCCCAATCTTAATTCGACGGTTGTCCATTATCATTTATGAATTTCTTCGATGTTATCGGTGGTGGTCGCAGTTGTTGGCCGTTCCGAACGCTCATCATCAGCTAAGCTGGTACGACCACGTTTAAATTCAGCTACCCATTTTTTCACGGTGGCAAATGGTGGGGCAGAGTTCCCGTAAACAGCGTCCAACTCGGCTTTAATTTGCGTAGACGTATTGCCTTTCAAATGCAAGAATTTAATTATAGCACGATATTCAATTTTTTCCATTTTTACAAAATGACACAAATGATTGTCAAACAAGAACTGAACGTCCAAAGTGGCCACAATTGTCACAGATATCTTTCGTAAGTATCACGATTATAATACCAGAATGGTTTTGACGAATAACACCATCTTCATGATGAGGCTCAAAACTTTTCAGACGACCCTCGTATATATCGTTTGATTGGAATTTTAGAAATTGATTAAAAAGAAATAAATATTTTCCACCTTTCGGAATTAACTACGTATACGTGAAAGAAATGATATAACTTATATCATACGTGCGTACACGAATCACTAAGCTAATAATGCGTTACGCGTTCGCCGATTAGTGATGATTTGATCCAACGCAAGATGGATCGCTTTTAATCGTGCTTGCCGCGTAGTGATTTAGAGACGTAGACCGTAATGACGGGCGCCAAAGACGGGCGGAGCTCCGTCACATTTCTTGCCTTTCCAGAGGGGCAAGGAAAAGAGTGAGAGAAAGAAAAGGAAAAGGGAGTGATATTCCCTCGGGATAGAACGAAGGTGCGAGAGACATATAACCATGGCAAGGACCGATCATCAACCGATAATGCGACGTAATTCGTAACGGGAACGGGGGGCTGCCCCGAATACGGAGTCGCCTTGAGACAGCAAACGAGAAAGCGACCCGGTAACCCGCGGAGAGATGTATGCCGCGGCGGGTGGTGCGAGTATCGCCAATCGGAGGAAGCAGAAGCGGCTGCAGCTCAACAAGCAGGTGCCGGTCAACGTCGTTCCACCAAGACTGAAGACCGGCTTACCGCCTGGCCCGCGTCACCAGCAACACTACCAGCATCACCAGCATCAGCACCAGCACCAACACCAGCATCAGCATCACCACCAGTACCATCAGCACCACCACCATCACCACCATCATCCGACCAAGCTCGCCGCCTGTCCGCATCAAGTCGCATCAGCACAGCAAGCCCCGCGAGCGCAAAACCAGGCACTGACGTCGACGTCGTCGTCGTCCGCCGCATTCCATCCGGTCATCGACGATCGGCGCCGTCACACCGACCGTCACAAGTCCCAGCAAGTCGCCCCAGTCTCGCCGATCCAATTCCCGATCTCACCACCCCCGCTCTCCCTCGAATCCTCGGCATCCGCCACCACCTTCCCGGCCAACAAGTCCAGCAACTTTCCCTTCCCGCCACCCTCAATCCTCGATCTCCGAGTCTCGCCTCCTACTTCGGAGCTACAGGTGGGTAACATCATCGGGTACTCTCTCCTCATCACTAGCCTCTTTCGGGCTCACGCTGTTCTTTAGCTCTCTCTCTCTCTCTCTCTCTCTCTCTCTCTCTCTCTCTCTCTCTCTCTCTCTCTCTATGTATGTATATCTCGCTCAAGTCACCATTACTATCTTCCACCTTACGTTCATGCGTACTTATTACAGAAATCATGCAAAGCGAGATAAATTGCGCCCTCCGCAATGTGCGCATTAGGCAGAGAAAATTATTGAGTATTCAGTTTGTTATAATTGTTACAAAATAAAAAATGATATATCTTATATAGAAATCGTTACAATATTCGTTTGCATTATTTTTGCTATATATTTCCTTATTTTTAAGTTTATGGATTACATTATTATATTATTAAAGGATAATAGAAGACAACATTTCTTTATCGTCACAAATTTTGGGAAGAGAATATTTATTTTAATTTTTCAACTTCAATTCTATGTCGCGTGTGTCTGAACACACAACTGATCGAAAATTCGATTACTTTATACCGTCATCTCTGCCAAGTGCAATCATTGAATTAGATTAACGAGAATTATCAGCTCACTTCTCTATCGCTTTAGCGCGACTCACCCTCACTCAATGCGTATATGCTCCCTCTGATTGCACCACATCTCTTTTGCCGGCACCTCGTACAACGTTATATAGTAAATAGCATCGATCGGCTGTCTGGTGGCGTATTACACGCGATAAACCCGTCGAGAGCAGCGTAAGAGAGGCGACAGATTCTCTATGCCCGAATATCTCCCAAGCCCCCAAATCGGCTAAAGGCTCGTAATATAATTTCAGTATAGCGTGAAACATGCTTCCCACGATTATCATCGACGAGAACGAGCAGCGATCGATGCCGATGGCGGGTAGCGCAACATTAGATCGGTATCGATCGCTGATGGAGCTTTGAGGTGGACTGGTCTCTTCGCATCGTATCGGGCGAAAGGAAAGAATAAGAAAAGAGAAAGAAAGAGAAAAAAACTGGGCAATCAGGGGGCTGAGATCTCAATCGATAGTATATACAAATGAACGAGCGGGATGCAGGCTGCTCTATTAATTAGACGAGATAGACGAGATAGACAGCGATTACGGGGGGGTAAGATTGGTAGAGAATTACCTTCCAATTTTGCCACCAGACTCATTCCACCGCTACCACGGTATCCCCCACGATCTTACGTATACGGGGTAAGTATCAAAAGTTCACGGTCGTCGAAAAAGCGATTTTAATCCCTTCGCATAAACTCTATAAATTAGGATCGCGCAGTTCTTCTGACAATGAGTACCAACACCTAGAACCGAGTTCGTTATGAATAAGGTTTGACGTAAAAGTTTTACGAAATCGTGTACGCGCATACCTCATTGATCAATATTCCTTCGGGCCGATTACGACGAAATCAATCAGGCAATCATGAAGCAAAAAACATATCAATCGCTCAGATAGATCACATATATTCCTGTATCATCCACTAATTTAATACTTCGTTCATTCATGTAAAGCTCACGTCAACGTTCAAAGGAGCTATAAAAGGGATGAAGGATTTTATATTGCGCATATTGCTTATGTAGAACGCTGTGAACTTCTCACAGAATTTTCTTGCAGAATATAGAGTAGTTACAAGATACAATTAAAGTTGATCAATTAAAAGAATTGTATGATTCAATGAGAGTACTTGCATTTTAACGGAAGATCATGCGATTCATTAGCCTCAACAATTATTTATAACAATATGTCTAAGAGTTACGTATTTCAGTGCGGCGGTCAGGGACCTGGCGGCAAGGCGGCGTGGCAAGGATGCAGCAGACCTTCGCCCCTTCCCTTATCTCCCACATCGCCTGGATACAGAACGAAGCAATGCGAAGCACATCGACGATGGATGAAAAGAAACAGGGTAATTTTTTCAGACACTGATACAATGTTAAAGAAAAAGAAGAGATGAAAGAAGGATGTTTATAATATTGCTCATTTGTAGCAGAATGTTTATTTTGTAACTATTAAAAATTTCCTTTTTGCATTGGTTGGATTATTCCTTTAGATCTAGAGGAAAAAATCTTAAAATGTTAAAACCTTCAAAGGAGTAGAAATTTTAATGCTTGGAACTAGAAATTGTAAAAATTTACACAAAAATATTATTAGGCACCAAGGCCTATATTTATAGTCGGTTTTTATTTCAAGACCATCTTAAATAATGTCTTTAAGATGCTAATGCAGCCCTCCGATTGGTTCGTGACACGTCACGACAGAACTTAAGACGGTCTTGAATATAAGAACTGACTATAAATACTGGCTTTCCTAAAACTCGCTTTCATCGAATATGGTCTTCTTCACTCATTTGTGTTGAACATTTCTCGGTCCATTTTCACATTAATAAATTTAATGTCAAAATTAAAGAAATCCTGTCTCAGCGAGGAAAACTTCCAACAGTTACAGAATAAGCATTCTACTGAACGTGGCCATTTAGAGAAAATAAAAATGATATAAGAAATCATGTATTTCAGATAAGAGACGCCAGTTACTGCTACGGAAGCAGCGGCGAGGACGACGACGAAGATGACAGCAGTAACGCCATTCACCAGCGAGGCGAGGTCAGCGCGGCGGTGAACACCGTGCTCTACATCGGTTTGGGGACCACCGCGCTCGGTTTAGTTATCTCATTCGTCGGCACCGGGGAGAAGGGCTTCCTGAGCCCGCAGCTGAGGCTGGTCGGCCCATCGTTACTGTGCGCCGGTTTGCTGTGCTGTCTGTTCCGCGTGTTGCTGTGCCTCTGTCTATGCCACTGTGGTCAGTGCCGCTGGCGATTCTGTCAGGTCGCCTCGCACAAGGAGAAGGCGAGGAAAGCGGACACGCAACCGGGACCGGGAACGTTATCGACCGCTTCGCTGTTGCCGCCGTCGATGCATCAGGAACGGGAACGTCCAGTTGCGTCCATGAGCCGCTCCGTGTCGCCGGCGACGAAGGGACACGAGCTCCTGCTCTCACCTGCCCAATTACCGGAATAAAGGAAAACGTGATTCGCGCGTTCACGAACATTTTCTACGAATGAATTCTATATACCATACGCCGATTTACTGCCGGTTCACGCCCGATTGCTCGATCCTAGTTTCCATTACGGCCTGAACCGCGAAATTTCGCAGCCTAAAAAGTAGCCTAAATGCGTCTTAGAGCTTAAACTTAAACAATAGAAGAATAAAAGAATCGGCTATGTTTTTGTTATCCTTGTTGCTTTCGAAAAAGTAAAGGAAAATCACAAACTACGTCGAGACCGGGTCTCGTTCGCGAAGCCTCCTGATTTATTTACGCTCACGCTTACAAGCTTCTTTACAAAGATTAAAGTTATTTTGTCTCTGATACTTTATCTGAACCAAATCTTATTATGATCATGGATCTTAATGTTAAAACTTAAGATACTTTGCTATGCTTATTGCTAGGCAAATACCGTTCTTCTTTTCCACATGATTGGATCTGTATGTTATCATCTTCATGCCCATATTTCACAGATCACAGTGTGTCTCTGAACAAATACGATAAATACTTATATCAATATCACTTTAACTCCTAATAATCAGGAAAGTTGAAACTGCATCTGCTCGTTCGACGAGTAACTGTAGATGACAGACGAGTCGGAAGTGCTCACGCTGGATGCCGTCGCGGTGATAGCGAACAATTGATCCTCGTACATGCTCTGCGGCTCTGTTTTTCCATTGCCAGTGGCTGTTGCGTTGGGTGGGTTGTCACCTTTTGTTGCTTCACGATATTTTTGCAGGTACACTTTCAAAGGCTCGACGTAATTATCAAAGCCGAGCGTAGTCATGGCAAACAGAATGTCTTCACCATTGATAGTTTTGCGCTTCTCCATGTGACACCTGTCGCTTGCTTCCGAAGTGATGAAGGAGATAAATTCTGACACGCACTCCTGAACACATTCACGCGCATCTTTGGCAATCTTTCCGGACTCTGGAATGGCTCTCTTCATGATTTTGGCAACGTTTGCTATCGGCAAGAAGCGATCCTGCTCGCGAAGCGGCCCACCACCAGTGGAAACTCCAGGGCTCTGCAAAGGATCCCCCGCGCCATGATTCGAGTCGTCCGTGTTTTCGGGATCATCTGTTTAAAAAAAAAAGCATTTGTTAAGATTTATACATTGTCTTACTATCCAAAGGATTTGACTTGTAATCTGGTCCGCGACGACTTACAAAGGAGTTACCATGTAAATATACTATCTAAATACAAGTATCAATCTTTTCATAAGTACTTAGAGTTGATATATTCCCATACCTTTTTATTTCAATAATACAGTCTATGTAAAAGTTCAAGATAGCAAGTACGTGCTCTCTTGGCAAATATTTATTATGCTTCATATCTCTAAGACGATCAATAGATTAAAATCATGTGTCGATGGTGAACAATTTAATAATAAGGATACAAGGTCTGTGTTTTATGACTAAAAATAATGTGATATTTGATAAAAGCGGAAAGAAAAATTCTAGTGCAGTCCAGTGAAGTAATAACAAATAAATCTAAAATCAAACTGAAGTGTAAACGCACTACAGTCTAATAAATTGCTGACAGGAATCCAATACTTTTTATAAATCCAAGACGATCAGAGGTATGTCTTCAAGATAACTGATGGACGAAAATCATTCGTTGAAAGTGAAAAATTTAGTTTTACAAAACGACGCTGATCAAGACGTATGACGGGCAAACTGAATTATAAACACGTTGTGGTCTGAGTAAATGGCCACATACTCGTATCTCTTTTCTATCCAGAAAATCAACCTATTCTAACTCGACATAAACTCGACGATACAAAATACAAGGACCTAGATAATATTCAGCGAAACTTTCGAACATCTCGGCTACTTTACCATTCTCGAAATTGGCTATCGGGACTCGGGAGGGAAATGCTAACCTACCTTCCATATCATCTGATTGTACGCCAATGTAGGATCCCGCAACGGTATTTCCACCCAGAAATGTCGATCCTAAAGGACCATCATCGCCGCTTTCGCCACTGTTTTCCATCTTCGGTAAAATCCGCACGTGAAACAGATCGAACAATTCAGGCCTCTTTAACCTTTTCCTGCCTTTGTTTTTATGTCGTTATAAAAGCTGATTAAGCCAGTGGCGGGCGTAATAAGTACGTGTGTACAACAAGTGTATGTATGTACTAATGCACACAGCAAAAGCAATTACGAATTGTGATTGTGAAAGCGTCTAGAAGCGTCTCGTTTAATCACTTTGACCATTTTGACCAACCTTAACCACGTCGAGATCGATCGCAACCACTCGCAGTGACTGACACTTGGAATTTTTCACTGGACCGACCAATCAGAGAGGTCCGTGATGAATTTGGCCAATTAGCGACGAGCTATAGTTTTCCGGAAGCGGCTCTAGGGACTTTTCTCTCATAAATTACGGAAGTTACGCTGCGAACGCGCGTCACGCGTCACGTTCGAATACTAATTTTAACCGTGCCTGAAGTTTGAATTTTATTTTTCTTTTTTCATTAAAATCGCTGATGGCTCAATTTTGGATTATGGTGGAAGAAATCAATATTAAAGAATCATTGAGTGCTCATTGATCGGTTTTCTCTGTTGACGTAGACATTACTTACAAAAGTTAAGTATAGGGACATCGACTATAATATAGTGTGTGGTTGATGTGGAGTATTCCACACTTAAAATTTTTCCATGTGTGGAAATACACACTTGGAAATCCAAATTTTTTGATGAAATATGACATTTTATTTTTTGACGAAATAATTTATTATTTAATATTTTATTAAAAATGAAAGTTGATTAAACTATATGTGAAGAAACATTGAACTATTATATATATATTCGTTTAAATAAATTAATTTCAGAAATTATAATTGCGTACCGATATGGTTGTCGGACTTTCAACGAAATATATATATATATATATCAATCTCTCTGAAATATTAATAATCCCCCCAAATTTAATCTTAAAAAATTGTAATAAACTTATTGCGAAAAATATTGCTTCGGCCGGGAATCGAACCCGGATCTCTTGCATTCCGTGCGAGAATTATCCGTACAACCATATCAGCACGCAATTATAATTTCTGAAATGAATTCATTTAAATGAATATACATAATAGTTCAACATCTTAACATTCAGACCGTAGTGGCACTTCGCGCGTATTTAAAGTAATGTTTCTAATATAAACGGTCTTTCAATCTTATTATTGTATATATGAAAAGTCACATGTTTATAATTCGATCGGCGGTTGCCTCTTTCACGTGTATATATTCTGTTCATTCATAATATTCATAATAAATATCTACATATATAATATATTCATTAATTTCTTGTAGCTACTTTTACATAAATTTCATTGTATTAGGGGTATAAATAAGTTTCCGCCGTTTGGCAAAAGATGGTGCCAGCAGTATGTTATGGTTAAAATTGTCTGCTGTAGAACGTCCTACATATCGTAGGATTGGACATCTGGTAACAACATAACCTTCAAATATTAGCGATTTTGTATCAGCATCATATATCTTTTTTCGTGCGAAAATGTCTTTGAGTTTTGAGCCGAATAAACGTCATTTGCGGGAGCTTTTGATTTACTTCTTTAATTAAATATATTTTTTTTTTTTTTTTAATTAAAAATAAAGAAGGAGCAATGTCTGGGGAATACGGCGGG